ATTGGCAAGAAAGTCTTCCATAGAGAGAACACCAGTCTTAAATAACTTTACAGGTGTGTTCTAACAAGTTTTCAATGAAAAGATCATCTAATCTTATATAAAATCTTTCACAGTGTCAAGAAATACCAGAAAGAGTCTTCATTTCATTTTATGACTATTATAAACTTGATACCAAAACTAGATAAATGCAAAGGAAAAAATGAAAAGTATTGACCCATTATACCCATGGATATATATGCAAAAATTTCGGAACAAAACATTAGCAAACTAAATCTAATAGTGTATAAAACACATAATATATATGATGAATTTAAGTACGTCCCTGGAATTCAAGAAATATTTAATAACACAAAAATTGTTAAACATCATTTGTCCTATCAGTAGATTAAAAGAGAAAACCTGAAAAACTACCTTAATAAATGTAAAAAACAATAAAATTCTTAGTAAACTAAAATTGGATGAGAATTTCCTAAATTTGTTAAAGATATTCACTGAAATATCTAAATTGACATAATACAAAATAGGAAAATATTAGAAACATTCTCTGTATAACCAGCAACTATATAACACTTGCTACATGACTTCTATGAAAAATTGTATTTGAGGTCCTGGTTACTACAATAAACAAATAAGGACTAGGAAAGAGGGAATAAGATGTCATTATTTATAAATGATACGAATGTCTACATAAAGACCTGATGGAATCCACCAACAGATTATTAAAAATCATGAGATTTTAGTTAGATGACTGGATATAAATTTAATATTCAAAGGCCACTTTCATTTCTTTATGCTAGTAATAATACTTAGAAGTTGCGAGTTTAAAGGGGCACTGTAAAGTAACAAGAGCTATAAAGAATTTAGGGATGCACCCAGTAAAATTTGCAAGTTTATTTATAGAAATTAATAAAACATTACTGACTAAAACATTAAGGAAAATTCATATAAATTGGGAAATATTATATAGATAGAGATATTCACTATTGTCAGAATGTTAATTCTTCCCTAAATTATCTATACATTCTGTGTAACTCCAGTAAAAATTCCAGCAAGACTTTTTCTACAGAACATGACACGCCTATTTAAAAATTGATATGGAATAACAAATGGTCAAAACACACCTAAGTAAGAAAAGTAAGAAGTGGAGGGCAGTCATATATCAATATTTATTATAGAGCAATAGCAATTAAGGAAATGGAATATTAGTACAGAAATAAACAAATTAACCAGGGGGACAGTGCCCAGAGCCCATAAACACACATATATGACCTTTCATGTGTGACAGAAGTGAAATGACAAGTCACTGGGAAAAGAAGGACCTATTCAGTAAGTGGAAACTGAAAAATCAGTTCTCCAGATTAAAATAAAAGGAACTTTAGATCTCTATCGCAAACCACACACATATTCACGCTCATACACACAAATCAACTACAAGTAGATTAAGTAATTAAGTGTGAAAAGAAAAACCTCAATTTTTAAAATAAAAGTATAGGTAAAGAGTTTTCTAAGAAATACAAGCATGTTGAAAAGAAAAAATACATTAATTGGATTAAAATTTAAAAATTATGTTTATTGGAAGACTTTTGCTTTCAGGGTACAAACTAATAGTAGACATCTGAGAAATACAAAGAGAGCAAAGGATTACCCTAAAAACATGTCAAGAATGCTTACAATAAGAAAAGAAAAGAACACATCTCAGTAGAAAAATAGGTAAAATACATGAACTGATACATCACAGAGAAGAAAACACATAAACACACACGAAGAGATGTTCAAATTTATTCAGGGAAGACTCAAATGAGATACCATTTATACCCACTTGGCAGAAACTGAGCACATCTGATGTGGCTAAATCTTGATGCCAAAATGCTGAGTAACAAAATAAACGAGTGCTAGCACATACTATAAAAGTATAATGCTTTTTTAAAGGTATAGGTAAAAAATAAGCAATATGCTCAAATACATATATCATCTACATTTATATATATTTATAGATACATATGTTTGTGTATATACAGAGGGTGCCAAAAAAAATGTGCTTCCACCATTTTCTTTGACTGTCTGATAGCATTCATTTGATTAAAGCTATATTGCTACCATAATTTTTTAATTTTTATTTTAAATATGTGGGGTACAATTCAGGGTTAGGTATACAAACGTTCATTATGCAGGTACCCTTGTTGATGAGGTATGCCCCCCCTCCCATGGCAGTTTCCCACTACTGCCAATCCCTTTCTTATAATATTATGATAGTTGTTCAAGGTTCACTTATGAGTGAGAACATGTGATGCTCAGTTCTTTGTTTCTGAGATAGATCACTCAGTCTTATAGCCCCTAAGTCCATCCAAGTTGCTACAAAATTCATAATTTTGTCCTTCTTTATTGCTACCATAATTTAATTCAACTTCAAAAAGTAATACATGGATAACACCTCTTAAAATATGTATACATTTTTTGGCACCCCTGTATATATTTATGTGCATATAATTTTATCTATACATATATTGATTTTATGAACATATACACATATATTTATAGATGCATAATTAAGATTATTTTCACAAAGCAAGACAATTATAAATATACAATTCAAGACAGTGAGTGTTTTTGTAACTATTTCTGAATAGGTAATGGGATTCAGTATCCATTTTATTAATTAGTAATGGATAATTGAATACAGACAAGCTGTGCATGAACCAAGAATGACAGTGTCATGAACCAAGGATTATGATTAAACCTATTCTGTTCAATTTTCAGTTGCAAAAGTAATAGTAAGAAAGAAATAAAAAATGAAACTTTACAAAATGAGAAAAATGTAACCACTTAACCGATCTTCAGATAAAAAATGCCCTTTCAAGCAAAAGAGTATTAAGAAATCATTACAAAATTAAATGTAAACCTTACTACACAAAATTTAATATTTTCAAACACCCAAATTATTGTAAACAGTGTAAGAGCAAGAATTGACCTGGAGAGAAATATTTGCAAATAATGACATATACTTAAAATTTTTAGTATATTAAGAGCACTTACTAATCAACAAGAAGCACACTAGTACTACAACTGAAATATAAACAATGATAATTGATTCAGAAAGAAAAGTACAAAAGACCAATATAAATTTGAAAAAAGTATTTTTTAATGAAGAGAAACAAAAAAACAGCAATATGGTATTTAATGTCTATCAAATAATTCAGGATTTCTTATAAAAATAATATTAAATTTTATAAATCTCACAGGGATATAGATGCCTAATTATACTGTTGTTAGAAGAATAAATTCTGACAAGTTGTCAACATAGTATGATTATGCTTGATAGTTTATACTATGTAACTCTTCTAGAAATCAGTCTACTTCATAAGTATTTATTGTGTGACTTTTATGTGCTAGTCACTGCAAGGCTTTAGTGACACTATGACAAGTGTCTTAGTCTTAGTTGCTTACCTAATAGCCAAGAAAAATGAATTAAAGAGTTACAAGAATCACATCTGATAGATATGCATGTATAATTCACTTAATAGATTAGTTAGCTGACAAATCAAATATGCCACTGGGATAATTCAGAGTTTTGCAAGGAGTGGTCTGGCTAATTATTTTCAACACCACTATCATGGTTAATTTGATATGGCAACTTGGCTGGGCTAAGAGATGCCCAGGTAGCTGGTAAAACATTATTTCTGGATGCATTTGGGAGAGTGTTTCTGGAAAAGATTAGCATTTGAATTGGTGTACTGAGTAAAGCAGATGGCTCTCACCAGTGTGGGCAGTCATCATCAATTTGTTGAGAGATCTCTTTCTATGTTTGAGCTGGAGTTTCTCTTATGCTGCCTTCTAACATCAACACTCCTGGTTCTGAGGTCTTTGAACCGGGACTGAATTATACCACCAGTTTTCCTGGTTCTTTAGTCTGCAGACAAAAGATCATGCAACTTCTCAGACTCCATAATTATGTGAGCCAATTCCTATGATAAATCTCTAATATCTCTCTTTCTATCTCTGTCTTTATGTATCCTATTGTATCTATTTCTCTGGAAAACCCTAATGCAACCACCAAAAACAAAACTATCCATCCAGTTTCTTTTAAGTGTGTGAAACATTTGTTGGTCCATTGAGAGTCATAATTCTTGTGAAGATTTGCAAATCACATGCAGATGGCTGACTGACTATGGTAACAAAACAGGATCAAATGGGGTAATCAGCTTATTGGGATGATTTATATATTTTTCGTTTCTGTTTCTCCTTCTAAAATACTCCTGATTTTATGAACACCATTAATAAATTATGTGAGCAGAAGTCAACATTGCCAAGTAATTAAAGCCACAAGTTCTTCAAGCAAACTGCCCAGGCTTGAATTATATCTACATTCTTACTAGCTTTGTAACTTGGAGCAAGACATTTAACATCTCTGTGTCTCAGAATCTTTACCTATGAAATGGTGATAATAACACCAACTTCATAGAATTTTAACAAGTGGTGGTATTGCTTGCATAGTGATAAGGAAAATTTTCAGTGCCTCTTCTGTACAGAAGGAAGCCAGGAAGTCCCATTCCGAGCTTGCTTTGTGTCCAGGAAAGGTTGAAATTTCTGTATAGTCTTAAGTGTTTCCTAGGAATATGGAATGGAGAAGAAAAGTCTAAAGCATTGGCATAGATCAGCTCACTGACTCTCCAGCTGTAATACATTTCCATTTTCCTAAATACACTGTAAGCACCAAGGGAAGAATGCATTGTATATAAAACCAGACTCTCTGAGCTGTTCATTATTTATAAACAATTTAAAGTGGATTCACATACTCATAATTACTTATTTCCTTATGTATGCTTTATACAAATTGATTTATTTAAATAGCATTTAGGTTAAATCTTCATATTTAGCATTCTGAAAAGTATTTACATTGCTGACAGCTAAAATGTTAGTTTTTTGCTCAGTCTTGTGACCAACTCTCTCACATGCTTGAATGATTGACTGCAATCCACAACTATTTTCTTCTTCCTTCACAGGTAAAGGTGCCCTACAAGTATCATCAGAAATCAAGAAGAGCAAGTGTTAGGCATTCATCGGTTCTCTTTGAAGATTCCAGTAATTTAGATCTGAGTTGAACTGAATTCAGATGATGAAGTAGAGCAAGAAATTTGCTTCTGAGTCTTGTTATTTTATTTTATTTTTTTGTTCTAGAAAATTGATGTCAATGATTACCATAAGAGCTCTTACCAATTTTAAAAGTATGCATAGTGAAAAATAGGAAAGTCACATTAAACACATTAACTCTTCATTAAAGAAATTGCATACTTTATCTTTGAGAGTCACTGATATTGCCACAGCTTCATGTTGTATAGTTTCTGTTAAAGGCACACAGTAGTTTAACAAATATTGACTGAATATCTTGATTACAAAGGGTTAACAGAAATTGCTGTCCTGAAAAGTTATATGTGCGGAGGCTCATAAATCAAACTCAGAAGATGGTGAGAGTGTTCTGGTTCTGCTGACCATTCATTCACAGGAAGATCAGTTAAATAAGAAGTTCAATTGTAGGATTGGCTTTCTTGGAGGCATACAAGCTCATTCTGTTATTCTAAATATTATGACATTCTTTTCTCAATTGTCAAATTGAAAGATATTTTCTTGGGAAGAAATAAGTGAGTAATTGTCTTGGATCTTTGGAAACAATTGTGAATTACAATGAAGGCAGCTGCAATAATGTAAAATTCTTGGACACTTGAGTGAGCTGTTTCTTGGGCAGATCCCATTTACTAGATTTGTCTTCTTGATCACACATTCAAGAACTTTCCTAGAGCCAAGTATATTTGCCACCAGAGTGATTTTGAAAGATATCTAGAGTTCTAGACTCACTGAAAAGTAGATTCAATAGTTATTAGGTAATAGATGCTATGGTGTGTAGTCCAGATTCTACCTGTCAGGACAAGGGCACTTGTTATCCCAGGTTACAGGAGTGTTAATTACTAATAGGTCTTAGCTGAGTTATCATCAGGGAAATGCCCTTGATTGAAGGAAGCCGCCTCTTCCAAGGTTTTATTCCTTTCTCAAGACAGTCTGCATCCAGTGACTGTTTGTCGATGAAGGAACAATGAACCAACCTTATTGCTTCCATTTGGGACTATTCTGAAGGGACCTTCCAACTTCAGAGCTTCTTGGAAGAGTGGCAGAGGTCTCTGTTTGTCTTGCAGTTCACATTGTTTCTTGGTCTAATATAGCTCCTTTCCCTTCCCTTATTGGTGTTTATAAGAGCACTCTCCCAAAAAATCTCCTGCATACAAATTTTCATCTCAGAGTCTCTCTCACAGGGAACCTGTCCTCTAGCAGGTGATATCAGGAATGGTTCTGGAAAGTCGACTACAAAGTGAGTCTGGAGTTGATTCTCCCTATGACCAGCTGTTGATGAGGATCTATCACTGATGGTGGGTAGAGTACTCTTAGACCCCAGCATGTTGGAGTGGGATATTGTTAAAACTTTCACTAATGGCGAACTGGAATGGAATACTAATGCAAGGAAATGTACCAGTATGAGAGTATCTTGGGTATCTTAGATCTTTGAAAGGTTCTGAGGACATAGTAATTACAAGGGCTGTGGCATCAGACAACCTTTGCTCGGTGCTACTGGGTCATTTAAGAAAGATATTAAGATACTGACAGCAGTTAAAAATTAATTTAATGTGAGGCCTGAAAGGCATAGGACCTTCTTGGTAGCACGAAAGAGACTCTCAACTCTTGAAGTTAGAAGGGAAGACAAGAACTTTGCAAGAGTAGTAGAGTTCCAGAGAAACTCGATATCTCAACTGTGGCAAATCTGACATGCCAAGATGGAAAACTTCTTAGGAAGGCATCCTGAAGGAATTCTGACTTTACAGATGTAGCTATTATGAGTCAAATGAACAAAAACCTTGAATTCCTATACCCCATCCCTTTGAGCCTGCAGAAGTGACCCACACGTCCCTGTTAAAGGCTAGTGCTTCCCCCCTCTGTTTTGCAAGATAATATGCACCCTCTCAGGATCTGTCCCCTCCTCCTCTCCTGATCACCAGACCAGCATATAGAATCAATTTATAATATAACCCAGCCAGGGAAGTGCTGCTATAAAAGGAAAAGGAATATACACGAAAAGGAAGGTAGAAGCTCCTCACCAAACATTAGCAGAAGCCAAGAAAGTTTTTATAGTATTTGTCCTGAGGTGGTGGGTCAATGGGACAGAACTAAAGCTGGATAAATGAGAGTTTATGTGGTGCTCTCCTGGGACAAAAGATTTTACTCCTTGGCAAGACACTGGGAGAAAGTGTCAACATACTGCTAAGATGTTTGTTGGATGCTCGGGAAAAAAAGGACCTGCCTTAAATGAAGTAAAAATACTAGAACTACAGTGACAAACAGCTGAGGGAGAGATCAAGAATTAATAGGCAGAAAGAAGTGAACATGCTTGAAGGTATATACTACATACTGCTGGAAAACCTACCAGCTGACAGTGTTTTGGGGAAGGGCTAGGAAGACACTCTGTGTGCCAAGGCAACAAGGATTGTACCAGTGAGAAGGATACCAGTGTCACTGGGAAGCTCAGTGGTGGCTTTCCTTTGCAGACCAGGAGTGATGGGAGAAGATGCTATTACAGAAATGCAATTGGCAGTGAAGGATGGCAGCTGCTTAATCATCAGAAGCAAGCAGTTCACAGTTACTATAACAAATCTAGAGTGACAACTCAGGGTCTGACCTGCAGAGAGCTATGACATTATTAACAGAACACAATATTCCTGGGGGGAAGAGAAACAGGCAATAAGCTTGAATATTGCTTAATTTATATGACCAATAAAAGAAAAATTAATGATTAGGAGGGGGAGACCACCTGCCCCAATAAAATGTGACAATTTCTGGCCCAGTTCCCAGATCTGAGCCCAATCTCAGACCCAGAATTTGCTGACTGAAGGAGAGGCTAGGTCCACATGTCAAAGTGCTCTGCAACTCCATGGTAAATATAGATGGTGATAATTCCCCCTGTTCTTCCCCAACTGATAGCCATTTATTCATGAAACCATACTGGGGAAGGAGGAATCTTCAGATATTTCTCTTGGACATGGAGTCTGAGTCAACACTGATACTCAGACGCCTGAAACATTTGCCATGGACTTCATTGTTAGAATGGAGATTAAGATGTCAAAGTAATAAATGGAGCTCTGGCCCAGTGATGGCCAACAATAGGTTCTTATCCCTACTGCCAAACATGTAATTGGTTATAGGTACAACTCCCACAATGGTTCCCTGGCCTGTGGAATAAATGCTACCACAGTGTGGAAGATTACAAAGTAATCGAAGCTGCTCACCCCATGCCCAGTCAAGATGATAAATAAACAATATTGAATTCCAGAAATAATGGTAGAGATTAAGAGTTAACGGAGGCAGAGATGATAGTTCTTGTCATTTAATTTACCAGTCTGGCTCCTGTGAAAACGTTTGGATTCTGCTAGATGGCAGTTACACTACTGAAAACTCAGCAAAATACTAGCCCCAATGGCAGCTGCTCTGCCAGGTGTGGTATTATTGCAAGAGCAGATTAACACAGATTCAGGTAAATGGTATGCAGTCACTTATTTGGCAGATGTGTTATTTTCTATCTCTGTCAAGAAGGAAAATTAAAACCAGTTTTCATTCACAGGGAACAGACAATACTGAATACAGTTTTGGCCCAGGTTATGTTAACTCTCCAACCTCTTTCAGAATTATAGTTTTAAGAGACCTCAATCATCTCACTGTTCTGCAAGATAGGACATTGGTTCACCATATTGATGCCTAATGTTAATTGGAACAAATGAGCACAAAGTGGCAAGCATGTTGGAGGACTTGACAAGATAGAAGTGCTCCTTGGTAAGTCGTGTATACTCCAGAGGTGGAAGATACACCCTGTGAAAATTCAGGGAACTGCCACATCAGTGAATTTCATAGTGACCAGGGGCATGCCTATAAATCCCCTCCAAAGTAAGGAAAAAACGATTACAATGCATATCACCTGCCATTTAGAAGGTAGCACAATGCTTTGTAGGCCTCATCAGGTTCGTGGAGGCAAGATTTTACATACTTGAGAATACTTCTTGGACCCATTTACCAAGTGATACAAAAGCTGCCTGCTCTTAGTAGGGATCAAAACAGATGAGATGTCTGCAGCAGGTCCAGGCTACAACCCGGCAGCTCCAATGCATGGCCCATAAAGCTGAGAAAACCTTATGTTACTAGGGGTTCTGAGGTGAGGAAATGTGCCATGTTGAACTTATAGGCCAGCTGGTATCAGATAGCATCTATCATCTCCTATCTCCAGGCTGGGGCAGTAGGCTCATAAATGGAGTAAGCAGAGTAGCAAGGATAGAGGCTATGCCTGAACACAACCCATCTTTTCCCACTTACCAAAACCTACCTAGCTGCTTCCACTTCTAAACATCCAACATCCAGCAAGGTATATTAATCCTGATCTCTAATACAGCAGAAGGGTAACAAGACAATTGATAATAATTTGATTACTCAGGATCATTTTTATCCTGGAGATGGTAGCATTTCATTTTGTCTTTCCTGCTGTCATAATCTTGGCCAACACCAAGGCCATGGGGGCTACAGGATATTAAATCCACTGATCTGATAACCAGATATTCTACATCTTATTAAATAGAATAAAAATTCCACCTACAAAAAAAGGGCTATAGTAATGGGTCTGTCACATGACAGCCCACTATTCAGAAGCTGCCAATCGAACAGGGTGATGAAATGGCCTTTGTTACATTCAGCCATGGTGTCCTCTAAATTTTGTTACTCTGCAAGAATGATATCCCACCCCCAACTCCCAGGATGCACTCTTCATTCTAAATAGAGGGTCAGCGAACTAGTCTCAAGACCACTTCCAGTCTGCCATGTGTTATAATTAACATTTTATTAGAACACAGCCATTTTCTTTCATTTACATATTGTCTATGGCAGCTTTCACTCTAAAATGGAAGAGTTGAGTAAATGCAACAGAGAACATATGACCTGCAAAGACTAACATATTTACTATTTTGGCTCTTTACAGAAAAAGTGTACTGACCCTTGCTCTACGTCAGGGAGTATCATATAGTACTATGCCCCCTATAGGTCAAATACCTTGATTCTTGAACCAAAGTGTAGAAATCAGAACAGTACCAAATGTCATCATTGCCAGTGACCCCATACGTGAATTCAAGCCCAGCAGCTTCATGTTCTGTTAGGCCAGGAGTTCCAGATATCCGAGAAGGATAGTGCTTCCCTTAGGGAAC